CAGTAGATAGTTGTATGTCGTAGTTGCACATCCATTCTAGTTGCTGTATGTGGGACGCGGCCTCAGCATGGCCGGAGAAGCGGTGCGTCGGTGCTCGCCCGGGATCCGAACCCGGGCCGCCAGCAGCAGAGCGCAAGCACTTAACCGCTAAGCCACGGGGCCGGCCCTTCAATTTCCTCATTTTAAAATGAGGGTATTAATATAGCTTTGCTGCACATTGCAGTGTTTTTCTGAGGACCAGTTGCAATAATGGATGTACTTGTACATTGGCAATGTCAAGCTCTAAATGTTAGCCTGTTTTATTATCTTACACTGATGTTGGGCTTTTAAAAGTACAATTTAAGGCCTGTTATTGTTTCATGTGTCCTGGTTGTTGCAAATAATTTCTGGTATTTGCTGGAAAGAGTGTGAGTTTGGAACCAGACAGCCTGGGTTTGCAGTCTAGCTTCCATTTATTAGCGATGGGACTTGGGACACGTTAACCCGCATGGGTTTGGTTTCCTTGTCTGTAAAATTAGGCTAATATGTTCCTGGCAGGGTTATTATAGGGTTAGTAATGAAGGTAAAGTGCTTAATAAAGGAAATCTTCTGTTCTACAAATTTAGATAAAATATGAGTTATAAAAGCAGTGATTCAAATATATGCGATTATGGTCTCTCCCTAATTTTCTTTTCAGAGTAACTAATGTTGGTGTTTATTTATGCCAAAAAATATTAGCGGTTTACATCTGGCCTACTCAATGATTTGGAGGTGTGGGTTCATCTAGCCCTTCAACAATTTTTTTAGCCTGCAGTGGTGGTTTACACATCATATAACATATCCAGCATTTAACATTAGGGTCGATGAGGGCTCTCTTGTTACAAAGTCTGAATACTAGAGAACATTTTTATGCCTGAAAGTGGTATCTTCTATCTTCTTATGGCTATATCACATTTTAAAAATTTTTGTTTGAGTAACAGGTAATTTCAGGCATTAATGATTTTGGCTTTTATGATAAGCTTTCTAGAAGGAAAAGCAATCACAAAAAATTCCTTCCAGGAACAGAATGGCCAAAGTCACTGTATATTTGTATGTATATGTATACATACAGTGATTATTGCCTGTATTGAACTGTTTTTTATTAGTTACCCAATGAAACCATTGCCTTTTTTTTTTTTTTGGTGAGGCAGATTGTCCCTGCACCAACATCTGTGCCAGTCTTCCTCTATTTTGTATATGGGATGCCACCACAGCATGGCTTGATGAGTGGTGTGTAGGTCTGCGCCAGGGATCCAAACCCACGAACCTCAGGCCGCCAAAGTGGAGGGCGAGAACTTAACCACTACACCACCAGGCCAACGCAACCGTTGCCTTTTAACTGTAATCAGACACAAGCGTGGAGATTAGGCTCTTTCTCCAAGTCAGATCCATCAGATTAATGGATGGGACCTGAGTGAAACTTGACCTTGATTTTGGAGATTCAGGACTAACTCTACTCTTCGTCAGAAGACTGACATCCACGAGGCCCATTTTAAAGCTTGTGGTCTGCCCTTGGTCTCCTCCAGCATGGGTTGGGTCGGGGGCACAGCTCCTACGTGGCGTCACCAAAGCCTCAGTTTGGGGATCGCATCAGCAACAACCTCTTCTTTGCTGACGGTTGGCAAGGACCTTTGTGCAATAGCTGTGTTCTCCAGTCCCCTGAAAAACCCCGCCTGTCCATTCTGTTCATGTGTGTTCAACTGACCAGCTTCTGTGCTTGGTCCAGTAACTCCCAGTCCCAGCAAATGTTCCTGCCAGGAACGAGATTTATAGGAAGAGACGTTGGTGAAGGGAAAAACAAGAGAAATGAAATTTGCGTATACCTCCCAACATTTTCAATTAAGATTTACCTTTCTTAAGACACATTAAAACCTCTTATATTTTTAATGAGGTTGTCGTCACTGGTACAGAAATTCTGTAAGAACACTTAGAAGCCAAGAGGACAAACATTTTATTCATTTGACCACTAGGAAGTTGGTAAAGGTTTCCATTCTCTTTGGTAGTCCATTGAATCTATTTGGAGTTATGGTCAATTGAGTAGGCCATTCTCTTGATTATAGTAGTGTGGACAGAGTGGGGAGAATCTACAGGCTGGGGATTGGGGGAATGAGATGCCACACCTGTGCTCTTTCCAGTAGACCAGTGCATACAGGTGAGGCTGGTGAGGCTGTCTTTAGCCGGTTTGTGCCAATCTGCATTTTTCCATAAGGATTCCCAGTTTATTTGTTAAACACTTGTTGTACTTAATCTTATCCAGGACAAAATACTCTTCAGGAGATTTCTTTCTGTTCAATTTTTTGTCTACCTGAGGCTCTGATGTTGGGAAACTCTTGTTTATTCTAAGTAAATCCCCAGTTTTAAGAATTAAATCTTGCAAGATTAGCAAGAGTGGCGAGAATCCAGGAACAAACTAAATAGCAGTATGAGAGCTGACCACTTAGGGTGAAGTTTGGGAGAGTTTTTTTTTGAGCCTCAATATTAATTGAACAAAATACATGGGAATGATTGAGGGTATCCTAGACTGAAGGCTTTTAAACCATCAATTATCAAATTAATCAGAAAATTCCTGAATGCTTTCTTTAATCTCCTCCTTCCACATTGCTCCTCTTTAAGATCTCTTATAAGACTTCAGTAGAATTTATATCTCATATACTGCAGTCTGTGGGTTTGGGGAGAATTTTTCATGATTAGGTAACAAGACTGGAACAAAGCAGAGGTGCAGTTATGTCCTATTTTGGTTGTCTTTATGAGTTGGTCCTTCTAGGTGTTGACCGATGTTCATGTGTATTCATTCCACAAGTATTTATTGAGGACCTACTGTGTGGCTCGCACTGCTCTGGGTGCCGTGAATGCAAGCAGGAGCAGACACTCAAGGTGTCTCCCCATGTGGAGCCTACCTGTCAGTGTGGGCGACAGACGATGAAGAGGAAGAAACAAATAAAAAGAGATGGGAAGAAAATAGAGCACGGGGGTGGCTAGAGACAATGGGGTTGGGGGGAAGGGTGGTCAGAGAAGGCATTGTATTCCTTCCAATTTTGTGACAATGAGCTCAGCAAAGGGCGAGGAGGACCGTTTTAAGCAGAGGGCATAACACGTGAAAGTCGGGGAGCAGTCCTAGACCCTGTGGGACCAGCAGTGTGGCAGGGAGGGAGCTGGCAGCCGAGAGGCCCTGGGAAGGACTTTAAAGAATTTTCTCAGTTTGATGGGAAGCCCCTGACGGGTTTGAGTAGGGGGAGGTGGTCTGAGTTACATATTAAAAACAGAACTCTCTGGGTGGAGAAGGGGCTATGAAGGAGGAGAAGCTGGAGGGGAAGCAGGGAGCCCCATGTGATGGCCTTGCCTGTGTATGCAGCTACTCCCTTGAGAGGGACAGAGGCAGGGACTAGTGCAGTGACATGGAGCTGCTGGGAGGAGAACCCCCGAGGGTGTTTGGATGTTGAGCTGACAGCACTGGACTGGCTGTGAAATGGGAGGAAGGAGGGGAGCCAGGAACAACTGTCCAATGTTTTCATGTTGGCACCAGAGTAGAATGGAGATGAGAAATAAAGGATAGGTCAATGGAAAAAAACAAACCCATGTGTGTTTGAAATAATGCAGAAGGTTTTATCTTTAGAATTGTGAGTCACGTAGTCAATGCTGAGATTTGTATTGTGGAACAGAGTTTTAGGGACATTTGCAGGTGTAATTCCAGGGCAGTTCCTAGTTAAATCCCACTAAAGTTTCCGTTCTTTGAAGGCAGGGTCTGTCTGACTCATCTTCATACCTAGATTGTGTCTTAGAGATATAAGTTCAGGTAAGTGCTTGGTTTGAATCTAAAGGTTTAATTATCTGCAGTTATTTCATTTATGGTTATGATTATGTCGGGAAATATTGGGAGTGGAATAAATGCTGAGAGGTGGCAATGAATAATTGATGCTGGTTTCTAGTTTCTGGATCTATAAGATTTGAACAGATATCTGGTGATATTGTCTCATGGGAGAATTTCCAGAGGTCCCTGTGCCATGTCACACAGGTGTGGCCATAGGCCGGTGGGTAGGTGTGCAGGTAGTGAATATTTAGTATTGCGGAGCAGGGGTGGAGAGGAGACACCGCCCTTTTTTGATGGACTTGGCTTATAAATCTACTCTGTCTGGCTTGGGTAGGATGAGTTGGATGAACTCCGTGCTGAAATGGAAGAGATGAGAGACAGTTACTTAGAGGAAGATGTTTACCAGCTGCAGGAGCTTCGGCGAGAACTGGACCGTGCTAATAAAAACTGCCGAATCCTGCAGTACCGCCTCAGGAAAGCCGAGCAGAAAAGTCTGAAAGTGGCTGAGACTGGTCAAGTGGATGGTGAGCTGATCCGGAGTCTGGAGCAGGACTTAAAGGTGAGTGAGCGCCTTGATGGGATGCGCATTCCCGGAAGGGTCTGCTGTGGGTGGGATCCCAGACCTGAAAATGCAGCTGGCAGACCCCACCTACCCGTGGTCTTCATGTTCTCTTAGTGTTTCTGTCTCTCTCAGCGGATTGCTGCATAAACATTCTTCTTTCACTTTATGGCTTATAGGGTGTGTGTACTCATATGGCTTTGACGGCCCAAGATTTAAATGTGATATGAACTGGAATCTTAAAACCTATAAAAAGAAAGAAAAGAAAAGAAATCATAGTAATGAATCTACAATAAAAAAAGAAATAATAGCTACCAATTGGTCTGACAGTTGTGTAGAAATTGTAGAGAAACTCCTTCTAAAGATCTGAAAAAAAAAATCTATTGATTATCAATTCAGTTATAGTCAAAGACCACCCTGAAATGTTGACCGTAATCACTTAACATTTTTATTCTTACGTAAGTTTCTAAGATGCAGAAAACCTCAATTACCATAACCCAAGTGAGACTTGTGCAGCGGAGATTTAACTGAAGGAGAACTAGGATCATAACTAATTGTCTAAAGTGTATTTCAGAACCATTGGCAGAAATGAGAATGAGGTGAAGAAACCCCAGACTTTATACCATTCACTCTCTCCATGGGCAGCATAGGTTCTCTCATGCCCCAATTATCAAATCATTTATCTAGACATGCATTATGTATAATGTCCTTCTTATTATGGGAGTACTTAGGAAATCTCATTTAGCTTTTCATTATGATAACAGGAAAAGAATCTTTGTAATTCTACCAAATTTATAAACCATTAACAAAGTGTCATTCAATGTGATATAAAGGTGATTTATATTTCTCTTGCAAAATCTCTTTCATCATTTCCTTTTAAAAAGTGAAAATGTTTAACTGCTGTAAACATTCAAATATTTTACCACAATAGATTATTAAACATCTACTGCATACAGAATTATTTTATTTGCTTTTTAGCAGGTAGATTTAATATTACCTTAGGAAACAGAAATGTTTATCTGTTTACTATTATTATTATTTGTAATTTACCATTGAAAATGTGTGTGCTTGGGCAGAATTGGCGTTCTTGGTGATATTCTGTAAGGAGGTGGGGCTATCCAAAGTGGCCCTTTAATCCAGATAAAAGTCGTATTCTTTCTCATAATGTGGATTTTCATGTTTTGAACTAATACCCTCCTCCTTTAAAAATAAGTTTGCTTAATCTTGCCAGGGTCTTTGCTCTTTGTTGTAATACCATGTTACTTAATGATTCTGCCTCTGAAGTTGTTCGAGTGTACCCTTAGCACACAGAAAGCTTCACATCCTGATGACTATCTCTGCGGGTCAATGCAGGTAGCCAAAGACGTATCTGTCAGATTGCACCATGAACTTGAAACTGTGGAGGAAAAGCGTGCTAAAGCTGAGGATGAAAATGAAGTTCTCCGACAGCAGATGATCGAAGTGGAAATATCCAAACAGGCCCTCCAAAATGAGCTGGAGAGACTGAAAGAGGTAATCCAGACACGTACGGGGATTCCCCCTTGGGTTTAATTGTTAGGAACTTGGGACTCCAAGCGTCCCATTCTTATTGTGGTCTACATCAGGGATGGGCAAACTAGGCCTGTTTGTATGGCCTGGGAACTAAGAATGGTTTTTACATTTTTTTATAGCATTGTTAAAAAAAAAAAAAAATCAAGAAAAAAACCCAACCACACAAAATGAACCTAAAAAAGCAAAGAAAACTATGTGACAGACTGTATGTTGCTTGCAAAGCCTGAAGTATATGCTCTCTGGCCCTGTACAGAAAAGGCTTGTTGGACCCTGGTCTAAAGCTATTTTTTATAATTTCCGTTCAGATGACTGGCCATTAATTCCTTTTATGTGTCCAAGTGGGTATATTAATACTAGTATACGAAGTTAAGCAGTATCTTTTTTCTCAAGAGTCTGCTCTTCCAATGAGCTGGAAAATACGTTATGGTTGTCTATTAAAGCTACGTGAACAGATAATGTGTGTGTGCTACCTATGTCTGTTGTTCAGCCAATATGATTTAAATGCAGATTTTTTTATTTTTAGGGAGTGAACGTGTCCTAGCAAAGTGGTCTAGAAAATGAATGTATGTATGTATATATATGTATATATATTTTTTCATTTGCATACAGCAATGCAAATCCTGTTTTGTTGTTGACTTCCATTATAAGATTAAAACTGAGTATTTTCTTGGAAAATATCCTGCATATTGATGAAGTTAAAGACTGTTGGTTAAAGCTTTAAGATGATGGCTAAAGCCAGCATATTACCTGCTAAAAGCCTCACTTGGCAGTTCATTTTTCCTCCACATAAGTTTCTTGATTCACTCAGTCATTCCTCGTCCATCCGCCCACACTTTAATTCAGGCACTGGACTAGGCCCTGGGGATGCAGATGTGAATATGGCAGCACAGGCCCTGCCCTCAAGGTGTTTACAGATCCACTTGGCACACTGATAGCAAGACAAGTAAATTACAGCAAAGGAGCCAGTGCTGTAGCCTCTCTGGTTCCTCCCCCGCTCCCTCTCCTCACAACCATGCTGGCCTCCCTGCCGTTGCTAGAGCTTGCCCTCCCCCTGAAGCGTACTTTTTCCACACCCCCACACCGCCGTGGCTCACTCCCTCATCGCCAGGTCTCTGCTGACATCTCACCTTAGCCGTGTCCCCTCAATACTTACACATTAAAGTTGTCCCTGTCTCCACCCTGGCCATCCCAATCTGACACGTGGATTTTGGTAAATTATGTGTATATTGTCACCACTTATCTGAAAATGCTATGTGTCTTATTTCTTTGTCTTTCCACGGTCCCCCCTTCACTAATGTCTCTCTGGAACTCAAGCTCCATGGGATGGGGGTTTTGTCTCTCTGGTTCACTGTGGGGTCCCTGTGCCTAGAACAGTGCCGGCACATAGGCATTGTCAGGGACTTGCTGGGTGAGGGGGGGATGCAGGGTGAGAATGTGGAGCTGTGTTGACCACAGCTCGCCTGGGGGACTCAGTTTGCTCCACAGAGGAAGAGGTAGATTCTGAGAACCTTCTTTCTTCATGGGACTGTCCCTTAACTTACAAACCTGCTTACCACCAGGACTGGAGGAATCTCTCCTATGATTGTGGATCCCTTCCCTCTACACTTACAGGTCCTGGTAATTTACTTCTCTCTTTTTCCTTTGGTCTAAGTTTGCTAGAAGGTGTGCCATAATGGTTTCTTTTCTTAAAATTTCCAGTTTGAGCCTGACCTTGGGGCTATAGAAAACAACTTAGAAGTGTATCTTATAAATTTTATATGTGTGCATGTTTATGTATAAATATATAAATTATGTATAAACATAAGTAAATCTATTTTAAGCAAGCAAAGGTTCTTTTGCACACATGTAAATGGATTTGTGTAGACCTTTGTGTCAGGTCATGACTAGCTCTTTGGGGAAAGCAGTGGTCACTGTTGCTCTTAACAGAGCTGGGCAAGTGGGAGGCGGGGATCCTCAGAGAGCTGTGATGTTGGCTCAGGCTGGATGTGAGGAGAGAGGTGGAGGGCTCAGCCCCTCCCTTCCTTTGTGGCTTAGAATTACTCAGAAAGGGATTGCTCAGTTGGGATACAACTGAGTTACCTCCAGAGTTGCAGTCAGACTGGTGGGGCTGCATATTTACACCAAACTTCTAGGTGAATCTTGAAACTGTCAGGAGTCTGAGGAGGGTTAGACGCTGATAGACTGTGCTGGAAGCAGAGAATGATAGGAAGCGATACAAGGTTCAAAGGTGGTGGAGGAGATATTTATTGGAAAATGCCAGCTGCGGTCTCCGTGAATGGGTTCTTCTTACCAAAGCCAGAACAAAATGCGCCGTTTTGCTCTAGGGTGAAGATGATATTTTCTCTATGCTGAGCCTTGCTCATTATCGTTCACCTCTGAAGTTTTGTAAATGGACGTGTCACGTTCTGAAAAAGGCAAGGACAGTTGGTGCGTTCGTTGTGCGTATCCTCAAATGACAGAAGGAGTTGCGGATGTGTATGTACCCCTCGGCCTCAGAGGAGGGTAAATCGGCGCATCTCTGTAGCCCTGTGGCTGCTGCTGGGCTTCTCTCTTAAGCTGCAGACTGTATTTTCAGCTGCCTGGTGGACTTCTCCAAGATGGATTTCTCCTAGCGCTTCACACTCAGTGTGTCCAGAAACAGACTCATCACCCTTGTCTCCACCCACACTTCCTTCTGTCTTTCCCATCTGTGTTAATGGTGCCACTGTCCTCTTCAGTCCTGAGGCTTAAGTGATGGCCATTACCCTTACCTCTCTTGCTCCCCACCCTCAGTTGCCTGCTCTGTGCTTTAGGTTCTGCTGTTCTGCTTTTGCAGTCTTAGAATTTTCTTTCTCACTGGTACATGCTGCAGCATTGGAGGAACTTTGAAAATATACCAAGTAGAAAGAAGCCAGACATATTATATGACTCCATTTATAGGAAATATTCAGGATAGGTCAATCCATAGAGACAGAAAACAGATTAGTGGTTTCCAGGGGCTGGGTAGAAGGGAGACCAACTGCAATGGGCAGGGGGTTTCCTTTGGGGTGATGAAAATGTTTTGTAACTAGATAGAGGTGATGGTTGTGCAGGTACACTTCACAAGTCCAGTCTGAATGTACTAAATGCCACCTAATTGTACACTTTAAAAATGGTTAATTTAACCTCAATTATGGATGTTTACTTTCTCTATTCTATCCATCCTTTCACCAGTCTCCTCTAGAATGAAGATTTGAAGGCTGATACTATGCCATCACTACATTGAAGGCATGCACCACTTCTAGTCTCTCCCTTTTCGGGATTGTCTTCTACATCCCCAAAATCTGACCGTGTTACTCTCCACTTAAACAAACTTGCTTGGGTTCCCAGTTGTCTAACTCTTCAGCATGACACAAAGAACCTTTCCTGCCTGGCCCATCCCTGTTTCCCAGCTGGGTTTCCCACCCCATGGCAGTAAACCCTGGTGTGACATGAAATGCAATTGAGCAGGATGAGAAGAGACTATGCCTTCTGGTCCTGTTTGAACTAATAAAGGTGTGTCTTAGCAAAGTCACTTTCTGCATTGATAGATGAGACGATTAAAGAGGGCTGGCAATAATTAAGCCACTGGAACTGTCCCTTCTGGTTAGCCAGCTTGCTTGCTTCCTGTGCCTGTTCACGCCATGGTCCATGCACCCAATCTCCCATATACCCCTTCACTTGTGCAAACTCAGAATTTTTTTCCTTTTTGGGGGGAGTATATTTCCTTTAACACTCAATTGTCTCTATGGTAGAATATCTCAAAAGGTTGAAAATGGTTAACCTTAGCTTAGTTTCAACTTCTTGAAGATTGCCCAAGTGTTTCCACTCAATAGTATTTCATTCTACCAAAAATTTTTTGAGTACTTATTATATGCTAGACACAAATAATAACTTGCCAAGTTAGTTGGCACTTGCAAGGAACAGAGACATATTCTAAAGTACTCCAGGGAACTAGGATTGTCTTTTCTTTTCTTATTGAGGTATAGTTGACATATAACATTACGTTAATTTCAGGTGTATGACATAATGATTTAATATTTGTATATATTGCAAAATGATCACCACAGTAAGTCTGGTTAACGTTCGTCACTGTACATAGTTACAAAAATTCTTTTTCTTTTGATGAGAACTTTTAAGATCTATTCTTTTAGCAACTTTCAAATACGTAATACAGTATTGTTAACTATATCATTATGCTGTACATTATGTCCCATGACTTATTTATTTATTTATCTATTTGGTGAGGAAGATTTGCCCTGAGCTAACATCTGTGCCAGTCTTTTTCTATTTCGTATTTGGGTTGCCACCTCAGCATGGTTGACAAGTGGTGTAGGTCTGCACCCAGGATCTGAACCCGTGAAGCTGGGCTGCCGAGGTGGGGCATGCCAGACTTAACCACTACGCCATGGGGCCGGCCCCGACTTATGTATTTTATAACTGAAAGTTTGTACTGTTGACCTTAAACAAATAGACAGCTAGTTATTTCTCCAGCAAAAGCAGGTTTATTCAGGATCAGCAAAGAACTGCAATTTTGGGTTTGCAACCATGACAAGCCATATGCAAGTCCCCCAGCAGCAAGGGAGAAGAAACTCTTTTATAGAGGGAAAGAGGAAGTTGGGAGGGCTATTGTAAACCCAGAGTTTGAGTTGTAGTGGCTTTTCATTGGCTGAGTTGTGACAGTCTCTCATTGGCTGAGCTTCTTCCTCATCAAAAAGAGAGTCTTTCTTCTTCCTGTTGGGCTCTGCTATGGACATGGGGTGTGAGGGCTCTCCATTTTGGCTTCCCAATTCCAATTTAAAGAGGTTGCTGTTTATTAGTTTGACAATTTCCTGTTTTGATCGAGATCTTTCTCTGAAAGCATTGCTGATCAAGCATCAGGTTTTTCTGGTTTCATCACCTTTTATCTCTTGATGCCAGGAAGGACCTTTCCTGGGTGTCATGTCCCAGGTAGGAGGGAAAGG